CCACCGGGAGCGGGGGCCCCGACCGGAGCCGATTGCCCCACAAGCCCCAAACCCTTCGGTGGCCGGCCTCTTCTTCGATGAACTGGTGGTGGCGTCGCCGGAGGATAGAAGTACTCGTCACTATCGCTCGACGCAACTGCAGGTGTCAGCCGGAGGGTACTCGGTACTGTGACTGTTGCCGATAACTGCGAGGCGGAGCGACGTGACGAGTCCGGTGATCTCAAACGTGCTTTGCTCCTCGTCAACATTGTTGATTCATTTCCATTCTCTGTTGTTTTTATTCATTATTATTTGTTTTGACACTTTGACATGTCATCGGAGTAATCATTTTTTGTTTGTGAAGAATTTTCTTTTTTATTATTTCTATTTAATTTTTGGTTTTGTCATAGATTCAATTCAAATAACTATGGTATTATAAATATAGTAATACAAATATTTGATTCCAAATAAAATATTATAATAAATAAGAGAAATTGGAAAGAAGGTGTTGTCACGTTGACGTTTTTCTTTTTTTTTTATACTTATTATTATTATTATATCTGTTGGATATGTTGGATGGTCGCTTAGCTTCAACCATATGTGGAATGAGGTTCAGGTTATTATATGAGTTCAGCTGAAATAATATTGTCTTCAACTCGTATTGCACTTGTATTTATTAGACACAATAAATAAGGCATGTCCAATTAATCTTATATTGAAATGGATATAAAAACAAAGTGCTTGCGAATACAAAATGGACATTACATAGAAATAGAGCAAAAAGGGACGAGAGATGTGAAACACAGACAAAAGGTAATAATATAGTGCTGCCATAAATTTAATGTTGCTATACATGAAGGATAATTTTAACCATCAACACTTCCCCTTAAAATAATAATTCAATAAACTCAACCTTACATTTTGTTTCTACAGTTACACATTACACAAAAGAATATACCATCTGACTTTACACAAGAGGCACAATGTCATAAAAATCACTCAAATTAAAAAAAGATTCCATTTTGTGTTCAAACATTTAGAAACACATGTCAAACAAACAACTAATTCCATGTCAAGTTTACAATAAAAGAATTCAACTGTAGGAAATTAGGAGCATCATTATTCTATTCTAACAAGTTTAATTTACTGACAAACTGCTTATGTTTAACAGTATTAAGAGATTTTGTAAATACATCAGCAATCATCTCTGCAGTAGGTAAATACTTAACATTTAGGATTTCTTTTTGAACCAAGTCCTTGACAAAGTGATGACACAAATCGATGTTCTTTGTACGTTTATGACAATAATCTTTTGATTCTAAGATTTTATGTGCACTTTGATTATCATTAAACCTCAGCATTAAACAATGTAATTCAAACATAAACAATTGATAATTTCAAACATGAAATTTTTAATGAAACCAAGATCTTTACATACGTCTCCAATGGATAGATATTCGGCTTCCGTACTGGACAATGCTACACATCGTTGTTTACGTGCCTCCCAATTAATTACATTGTCACCAAGTTTAACCACAAAACCCGTGTAGGACTTACGGGCAATTGTATCATTGGCCCAATCCGCATCCAAATAAGCACTTATATTTAAATTATTTGATCCATAAAAATGCAAACATAATTTAAAGTTCCTGCTAAATATCTGAGGACGCGTTTAGCTGCAAGCCAATGTGACTTGTCAAAACAGTGACCAAACTGGCTCAACTGGCTACATGCAAATGCAATGTCAGGCCTAGTGCAAACTGAGAGATACATCAAAGAACCTAAAAGTTCTCTATATCTATAAGTATGATCATCAAGACCAGTCTCAACTTTATACAGTTTACAATTAGTTGCCATAGGAGTTGAAACAGGTTTACAATCTTGCATACCAAATCTAAGCAACAATCTCTTAATATACTCAGTTTGATCCAATAGGGAAGATGCAATATTTTTATTTTTTTTTCATTTTAAAGAATTCCATGTAGAATAAACCACAGATATATTAAAAAATTGAAACATTGTGATTTATCGGAAAAAATGCGGTTTTAAATTAACTATTTTAATTTTCGCGCGAAAACGAACCTAAGGTTGCGATGACGTCACTCCTGTCTCTCACTGGTCGTATTTGTTCGTTGCTGGCTTTAAATTTTCATACTTTTGCATATTTTTTCGACTTTCGAAATATTTTTTTAAAACATTTAAAATGGACTATCTAGGGATGTTCCGATACCATCAAGTTATCGATACCTACTCATTTCGATAGTACTCAAATCTTTTTTCGATACTACTTAAATAAATACTCCTAAAGTATCGATACTTACTGATATCGATACTTTTAGCACTTATTTTTATTTATTTTTTACTTTGAGGAAACTAAAGTAAAAACAATAAACGTCGAAGAACAAAAATTAAAACAAAAGTGAGAAAAAATGAGAATATAAATGTTTTGCGTCACTTTTTTTTAACATTTTAGGAATTCAAAGGGATTATTTAACATTTTAGGAGAGCAGTTGCAAAAAAGAAAAGTATAGGATCCTTTCATTGGTTCTCTAATTTGCCTTTATCCAAAATTCACACAGAATTCACAGACTTAAAACATTGTTTACATTTTGCAATTGTTTCGTTTTATTTGGTAAAATTTTATTGATTTTGGTGGTGCCATGATAACACAATAAATAAAATTACTTGAAAACAATCATTTGTATATGCAAATTAAATCTCGACTTGACAGTTTGAAAATTCATTATGTTGCTAATGATGACAACTTACATGGCGGGCGGACAGCTCTCTCGTTTTCGGCTCGGACTCGGATGAAGTCGGACGAGTTCGGCTCGCCTGGCGCAACCACACCGCTATGCGATGAATACCGGTAACTGAGCCAAAGGGCTTTTGCTCTCTCATACTGTCTGCGTTCGGAAATTTTACCTTTTTTAAATGGTGGTGCTGATTCGATTTGATACCAAGTACTTTTGTTTCGATACCGAGTATTTATCGCAAGATTGATTCGATGCTATAAATACTTGGTATCGAATCAAAAGTATCGAGTACCTACTCGTATTTACTAGTATCGGAACATCCCTAGGACTATCCATCAACATCATGTGATCATAACAATACCACTAATATTCCGAAAAAAAGCCGTATTGACTCATCTACTTCAACAAAGTTCCCAAATAAATTGTTTTTGACTGGAACTTCTGACCCAAAACTGAAAAAAAAGTGGTTTCAACCTGCGAAGAGAAATGACAATTTTTCCTCAAAGACCATTATTCGACGCTGAGAAGATCACTTTGACGTAAGTCGGCGAATATACTTGTTATATGCTTAATTAATCTGCTTGTACGTAAAAACGCATTAGTAACCTACCTTATACTTACAAAACCTGTCTATAACATATTTTTAATTTTACAGTTGGAGAATAACGTCGAAAATTAGATAAAGTTTAAAATGTGTGGCACAATATTCACATTGGCAGGACTGAACCAAGCTTTGCGTTTCATTTAAAATAACTGTAACACGATAACCTTCTTTACGTACTTTATGCTCCGGAGAACTCGACCTTTTACTGTACATAATTCTCCATCTCTTTTAATTTGGACATAGCCGATTGCATTATCGTCGTAAGATTTGTAGAAGCCGCTGAATAAAATACGAAGTTTAACAACTACGATTTTTACATACCGTAGTAATTTAGTCCCTTTCATTTCTACACTTAAAAACTCCGCACTTTGGACAAAAAAAGTTATAACCATGTCAACGCTAACTCTTTGTAAATTCCTGGAGTCTGCTTTGATAAACGCAACTTCCATTTTTATTAAATGTATAAAAACGCAATAAATATTCCCATAAAATAATATTTACTTTAACAACCATAACCTCAAAGAAGTTGTCATAACAGGAGTGACGTCACTAAACGCTGATTGGTGTTTTAAAATACGTTCCGTTTAAAGTATTTTTAATTCGTAATAATTGTTAAAAAACAACATTATGTAAAATAAAAACATTGCAGTGGCATTTCTTTTATATTTTTTTAACATTTTAATCATAAAATTTTCATAAATATTATATATGCATCTTCCCTATTTAATCAAACATTTTTCTCTGCACCTTGTTATATTAAAACCTAAACAACTTCTTAGTGTTCCTATATTTCTCACATAAAAATTGGTCTCAAGTAGACATAACAACACATTTTTACTTGAACTATAAAATAGATAGAAATCGTCAACATACAGAGCTAAAATGGTTATATTATCCTGTACTTTCTTAGTATAAATACAAGGCTCACACTTGCTTTGTAAGTAACCATTTTGAGTTAACAAATCATGTACTTTGATATACCAAATTCTACTTGCTTGCTTAAGACCATAAGTACCCTTAAGTAAAAGACACACTTTGTTTTTATTTATATTGAAACCCTGTGGTGGTTCCATGTAATTTTTTTCTTTAAGTTCACCATTTAAGAAAGCGGTTGTTACATCAATATGATCCATGTTGAGATCTAATTGAGCTGCCAATGAAAACAAATATTCTCAAGGTCAAGTGCCTGATAACTGGAGAAAATGTATCATCAAAGTCAACCCCTCGAACCTGAGTGAAACCTCTGGCAACCAGACAAGCTTTAAAACAGTCAAACTTACCAGAAGCATCTATTTTACGTTTGTAGATCCATTTACTTTTAACAACATTTACCCCTTTAGGGCGATCTACCAATTTCTATACCTTGTTTGTAATAAGCGAATCATATTCATTTTGCATGGCAGCCTTCCATTGCTCAGCATCAGAACTAGACATGCATTCCTCATAGGAAAGAGGATCACCTGGCAACACAGCTTCATGTTGAGTGAGGAGAGAAAAATCACTTTCATAATCTTTGTACCTGTTGGGCATCTAAGAATGACACTTTCGCATCGGACGCTCACTACACACAGGCAGCGACACTTCACACCCTTCCCCTCCAACTGTTACCTCAGAAAATGAAGTCACACGGTCATCATATGACTCATAAGTGGAGGAGACTGTTGGCTCATTTTCGCTGCTAGTACAGCCATTCTCCTCATCTGAAAATGTACAAGAACTATTAAAATTTCTATTTAATTCCACATTATGACTAGAACTCGGTTTACTACTACAAGAACTAGAGTTCAGTTCAATACATTGACTATTATTATTCAACATTTGATTGTCACAAGATTGAATTTGACTATTAATATTAGAATTTTCATTTTATTATTATTCTCATAAAATATTGAATTATTATAAGTATATGTCATATCAATAAAATCACTCTGCTTGTCATTCTTATAAAATTTATCTTTAATAAAAATAACATTCCGAGCAACCATAACATTCTTTGGATTAAGTGGGTCTGCAAGTCTATATCCTTTCCAAGTATCACTATACCCGACAAGATATACATCTTACTTTTAGCATCAAGCTTACGCCTTTTATGTTTGGGAAGTAATTAGTATACAATACATCCAAAAACATGTAAGTGACTAAGGTTCGGCCGAGACCCAGTCAACTTCTCCTCAGGTGTAAGACCAGACAAAGCTTTGGTAGGTGACCTATTCTTTTAAATAAATAGCGGTCATAACCGCTTCACCCCAAAAACGTCCTTCTAAGCCTGCCCCTAACAACATGCATCTGGCTTTCTCTAAAAGAGTCCTATGGAGACCCTCTGAGACACCTTATTGCTGTGAACAATAAGTTACTGATATTTGATGTATAATACCTTCCTTATTCAAAAAGTTAGCAAATTGATGACTGCAAAATTCACCTCCATTATCTGAACGTAGTATTTTAATAGATAACCCCAACTGTTTTTCTATTAGGCATTTAAAATTTACAAATGACATAAATACCTCAGACTTCCTCTTGATGAGGTATCCAAAGGACTTTCTTGAGTAGTCATCGGTGTAAGTCACCAGGTACTTTGCACCTCCCCAGCTTGCAATTGGCATGGAGCCGCAAACATCAGTATGAATCAGCTGCAATGGTGCAATTGCACAATGCACAGTCTCGGCAGGAAAAGATTTTGCAACCATCACACACAGTCTTCCAGAGAACTTACCTGAAAATTAACACCGCATGCTACACCATTCGTAAGAGCTAACATACCAGACTTACTTAAGTGGCCAAGCCTCCTGTGCCATATATCAAAAGACACCTCAGCTACGTTAGCACTCTGTTCATCTTGCAATAACAACTGAAGAATGCGCTACCATAGATGACACATCACCAGCCTTCAACTTGTAAATTCCATTTACACTGGGGACTACTGCCAATGGTTTGCCAGAACTTGCACTTTTACAAAATATAAGACAGCCCTCATGTCCAAATGTCACATTAAAATCCATACCTACAACTCAACTTTTGTGTGGAAAAAGTTATCATTTCCATGGACAGTAAGTTTTAGTGAAATAGGTTCGTCTACATTGTGTTGTTGTGTCCCGCTTGTCAGTGTTCACTGAGCCAGTCCGCCTTAGCTGGTCGGAGCACACGCACGCGCAACAAGGTCTTAGTGGATTCCCGCCAGTTAGTAATTATATCATTTCAGTGATGACAATTGATTCGGTAGACTGTAATGCCGATAAGAGTCCACGGGAATAAAAGTATCTACGAAATGATACATCCGTAAGTTTTTAGAGATCCTTGAGTCAATATAGGTATATTAAATAGTTTCAGTTTGTGATGTACATTTACCTAGATACTGGTGTCATTCTGGCAGGATTCTCTAAACTTAAAACTAAATTTAACATCAGTCTGTCCTTTTCAATCTGTATACAGAATGACAAAGATACACTGTTGTCAAATTTTAGGTTAGCTTTAGAGAGTCATGCCAGAATCGACATCACTGTAGGTTCGATATCTAAAATATTCTATCTAAAATATCTAGTTTAAAAATGTATATTAAAGTTAAAGTGGACGAAGTCGTTGGCGACTTATAGTATTTCTATGTAAAAAAAGTGTAAATGAATCAGTATTATTCATCTGTACTTGACTCGCTTGCACGGGATGAGTCATCAGAAATGGTTTCTGAAGGCGAACGATCAGATTAGCTTGTTTCTGTAGCTAAAAATCTGTATAATCCATGGTACTCCTCAGGTATGACCTTTCAATCATCGAGATCTTTTTTCTTTGTTATAGATTTTTTTTTATAAATATGTTTGACAAATGACTCCAACAGAGGTTAAGTGACGGAGGAGTCCAGACGCGAAGATAGCTGGTACAGCAGTTTTACTTGCCACACCAGCTATCCTCACTTTGCTGGACTGCAGAATTGCTACATCAGACACGTAAGCGAGCTAAGTAATCCATTTGCGGATAGTCCGACACAGATATGAGTTACCAAATTTCTTTGTTCACGTTGGAGTAGTGGGAATAGTAGTTCACAGTAAATCGGTGACAACGTAAGCCAACGCATGTAGACTTCTGTAGGAAAGGGGAAGATAGGGTATAGTAAACTATCCAAATCATCAAAAAAGTACTTGACGGAGCCATCCTTTGGGGTGCGAACAATATTCCACGTAAGACCACACTTGCGTCTTGTACAACAAGTACAGTTGCTCAGGCGTGAAAAAACGTTAGTTTTACCTTGAATTAATTTTAAACTAACGATGACTAACGCTAATAAATTACAGTGGAAGAAAAGAGTAAGAACCGATAATCGATTTTAGCTGAAGTAATTTATAAAGTGTCGAATAAAAGTTATTCAGTAAAAAGCAAATTGAAATTCGGTATCTTCTTTTACTTGCCTCAAATATAACGCAAATATACAATGTATACATTTTTTTGCAAAAAGCGACTTACATCTGTTAGTTTTTACTACATCTAGTAAAATTAAAATATCTGGTAAAATTCAAACAGTCAAAGCCAATTACCGTGGGATACCTAATTTTAGCGGAATAATCTCACAGGATATTTACTCTAAGAATAAGGAAATCTAATTAGATTCAAAGTAGGGAACCCTTCTATTACAAAGGCGATGTTCTTGGCTGTATCATTTCGGTTGTAATTTATTACCATTTCGGTAGACACTTCATTTCAGTGGACTCCCGAAAACTTGTCGTTTAATATTTCAGTAAGTGATGATTGTTGAATTTGACCCGTAGGATCGTTTTAAAGTTGAAAAAAACGAGTATCAATATATTATTATTTTGCACCTTTTTTGCATTTTGTGCAAAAACTATGGGAGATACGCGAAAATATGTTGATACCTTTTTTGTAGAAAATAAAATTTTCTACAACTTTGTACAAGAAACTTTTTCTATTTTCCCAGCCAGTCGCGAGATGTTGACGAATATCCCGTTTTTGCACCATTTCGCAATGTTTATGCACTCTTTGCCGTCAATGCAGCACCCTGCAATTTTAGTATATTAATCTAGGAACCCTACGGAAATTTTCGCGTTGGTTGCAGGTGATCAACTCAAAATGGCAAAGTTAAGCTTTCATTGACTGGACTATAAGCGTAATTCGCGCAATTACGTTGCGCAGATAATGGTGAATTGTCTTTGTTAAGTACAATACATATAAATTGACCATTATTAAACAAAAATCAAAGTGACAAAATACCGATTCATAATTATTACTTATTTTCTGACTACCCCTATTCTTAAGCAAGTCATTCTTTAGGATTGACAAGCTTGCAATATAGAGACTTAATGCATTTGACTATGTTTAATATAAATAACATAAGCCTGGTCACCACAAACATTAACTAGTTTAGGAAAAAATGTATTATTTTTTTTCTTATAAGTACTTGTGTTGAACACATTTCTAACTTTTTTTGGTAATAAGGTTCAAGTTTAATTCAAACCAATGGTTTTGTCCACAGATATGATAGTAGCTGAGTCGTGGCAAGTCCGTTTCCTTCTGTGGGTCCTCCCGATTTTGGTAATCATCGGTCTGTTGGCCATACTGAGCTTCATCGGACTACTGTTCGCTATAAGGATATACGCCAGCTACACTTGGGGACGGTTCAAGGAAAGAACCAAGATGGACGGCAAGACGGTAATAGTCACCGGATGTACCAGCGGCATAGGCAAGGAGACGGCTAAGGAGCTGGCAAAGAGGGGCGCTAAAGTCATCATGGCCTGTCGGAATATAGAAGCCGCTGAAAAAATCAAAAGTATGTATTTTGACGTCTGCTTTGTGGTTAAAGTTCAAAATTTAGTGTCAGTTTTTAAATGACCTAGTTTGTTAATTTCGGATGGCCATTTTTTTTACAATAAAATCCTAATTAACTAAAAACTTTCTTTATTTGTGGTAACAAAATAGATTTAGAAGAAACGTTTGCACTTTGATGTTTTGTCTATATTTTAAAATTTACTTTTTATGCGGTTATGAACGGAGTAGTACCCAATTATTTTCATTTACTACGACAAATCATCGATTCTGAATTTTAATCATAGCACGTAGATAACAAAAAAAAATATAAAGCAAATTAAATATTTTCGAATGATCTCTTACGAAATTTTAAATTTTTAAAATCAATAAGTAACCGAAATTTCTTATTTTCCAGATAATATAATCGAATCAACGAAGAACGAGAAGGTGTTCGTCAAAAAACTTGACCTAAGCTCGTTTAAATCCATCAGAGTGTTCGCAGAAGAAATCAAGAGCACAGAAGACAAACTGGAAGTGCTCGTCCACAACGCCGGCTATGCGGAGATGTTCAGGAAGAAGAAGTCGGAAGACGACATCGAACTAACTATGGCGACGAACCACTATGGCCCATTCCTGCTGACCCATCTCCTTATAGATCTGCTAAAGAAAAGCGCACCTTCCAGAATCGTCGTCGTCGCATCCTCCCTGTATCGCTTGGCGTCTGTTAATTTAGAAAACCCCAATCCAGTCGACACTTTCCCAGCATATTTATACTACGCCTCCAAGGAGGCGAATATACTGTTCACTAGAGAATTGGCGCGAAGACTAGAAGGCACCGGTGTTACGGCTAACTGCCTGCACCCTGGACTCATCGACAGCGGCATTTGGCGGAACGTACCAGCGCCTATTAGTTGGTTCCTGCTTCTCATTATTAAGTGCTTCTTCAAAACCCCGAGGGAAGGATGTCAAACGACAGTCATGTTGGCGGCCGACGAGAAATTGGAAATAGTAAGCGGGAAATACTTCTCGGATTGCGGCGAAAGCTCCGTGTCAAATCGGGCCGGTGACATGGGCAGAGCTAAGAAGTTGTGGGAGTTATCAGAGACGATGGTAAAATTGGACGAGACCGATCCGAAGATATAAGACCGAAGCAGCAGCTTTACAAACATAATAATATATTTTTTGAATATTATAGGTATTGGGTTTGATTCTTCTCAGTCTCTCTTTTTTCAAAATCAGTCAAAAATCTAATACAAACACATTAAGTGTAATTTGAGTACTACAGCGGAATTATTTAGACACCGTATAATAAGCAGCGACCCTAAGGCCAAGTCATTTGGGGGAAGACTGTCCATACATTCCAAACAGACAGCAAGTATGGATACTTTTAAAAATTTCGTCTTAAGAAATACAATATTTCTTTGTCAAAAGTTTCAGTTTTATACCCATTAACAGCTAGGTCCATAAACTTTTGATGTAAACATGATCTTATAGAATACATACTCGATCCTTAATTTGTATAATAAAATGATATATTACTTTTCCATGTTCAAGCAGCTTTTTTACCCTTAAATGTAGTAGGTATTAAGGTTATTTATGTATAAATTTTTATCTTTAATTTTTTATAAATCAATTGTGTTACTTGCTTGTTTAATTTAAAAATGCAAATTAAAAAAATCAAAGTACTCTACTGCTTAAAAATAAAGTACTTTTAATAAAAACTGAAAAGAAAAAACAACAAGGTCAGTGCCAATTCTATAATTCTGTTAAGAAAAAAAGCTACTTTAAGACTTTAACCCATTATTAGATATTCCAGAATGGATCAAATCTTTCCAATACTTAATGGGTCCAGAGTGTTAAAGTAGCTTTGATTATAGACTACTGTACTTGCTTTTTCTTTTCAGTTTTTATTTAAAGTAATGTCTAAGCAGTCGAGTTTATTGATTTTTTAAATTTACCTTTTCTTTACAATCGAACAATGATCTCGAGTTATGGAGCGAAATAAATTCAATTTCTCATCAACTCAGTCAGTGACCGGATGGAACCATAGGCCGTATACAGAAAGAAAGCCGAAAGCCGATCGGCGCCGATCGGCGCTTATCGGCGCCGATCCTTCCTACATAAAGGAAGCCGATTAAAGCAGATCAAGCAAAATGTCGGACTCATCGGACGATGATTTGGTTTTGTTAGAAAATGTTTATATAAAAATGCGAAAAACAGCTATACATCCTATAAATAGAGAAAGGAAACGTTTCGGAGAATACCATCATTTATTTGTAAAAAAAATTAAATTTGATGAACAAAGATTTTATATTTTGGATTTAGTGAAAAACCGTTTGATGAAAAATTGGGGCAATTGGCATAAACAACCAATCCTTCCAGAAGAAAGACTTGTTGTCACCATTCGGTAAGTACGAAACAAATAATTTTAGCGCTTAGTTAATAAAAGATAAAGTTATTAGATTTATAAAAAGATTATAACTTAGATTGATTTAATATAAGGATAATAATTCAAATACAAATTATTTATTATTCGGACCAGCGCGTGTCGGCGCTTATCGACGCTTATCGGCGCCGATCGGCGCCGGTCCATAGAAAAAGGATCAGCGCCAATAGGCGCCGATAAGCGCCGATCGGCGCTGATCGGCGCCGATCGGCTTTCGGCTTTCTTTCTGTATACGGCCATAAGCTGTTTATGGTTAATTTATCGGTAAGACTTAAAATATTATTCCTAGTGTTAGTTAGGGTTATTGAAAAAAAATATACATTCTTGAATATCTAATGGGTCCCCTATGTTAAAGTAGCTTTGTTCCTTACTTAACAGAATTATCTTCGATCAACAATTCATATTGATAACGCGTATGTTTAATAAACTTATGCAGCTACATTCGATTCCCAATAAACAAAGATAAATGTTCTAAAACAGTTTAATTTGAACCTAATAACATCTATCTCACAAAGGAATAAGGTTACAAATAACAAAATGTTATTTCGCACATACGACCTTTTATCTTATAAAACGAACTCTTGTTCCTTTTCATAATTATATCTGATACTTGGCAAAAAACGATAAAGTTGAAAAAAGGAAAATTAGAAATCAACCTTATGACTCACAAAATGACATTTTATTACCAGTCTTACACCCATATTCTTAGTCGTTTCCTCGAGATTTTTTCCACTCGACTCAACCTCATTGGAAGAAATTCGTATGCTTAGACAACAAAAATATCCTTCACTTGAGATATTCCTCGCTCGAGTGGAGGTCGAGTCGAGGAATAAACTGTCAAACTCAAGGTAGCTCTCGACGTACCTTAAGGCTTCCTCGAGTGGTGTTTAAGGTGTTTTCAAGTTTTATGTCTGATTTTGAGATTATTGACGAATTTGTGGATTTTATGGATTACGTATACGATTTATCTATTTATTTATTCAGTAACACATACACGATGATTAACCATATAATTTTCCGGCGCGACGGTATTTACGTGATGCCGCAAATCCTTTTAAGGTTTACGACAATGATTCGTTTCAAAGAAGATTTCGGTTTAGAAAAGATACAGTCATACAAGTAATATTTCCAGTGTTAACAATTATAGAAATAAAATCCTCCAAATGATCACGTCACAATGTTGAGGAATTCTCAGTGGAGGAATTCTCAAGTTTGTTCAAGATACCAACTAGAATACCATTTTCGAGGTTATTTGGAGGAACTCCTTAAGGAGCCCTCGAATGAGTTTGAGTCGAGGAACGTTTGAGGACGCGATTAAGAATATGGGTGTTAGGCCAGCGAGTTACTTGGTTTTGTATTAACCGAACTAAACTTTAAAATATGAGCTCCGGCCTTAAGTGAGGCTATGGGTACGGCCAGAGTGCACTCAGATTCAGATTCAGATTCAGACTCAGAAAACAAGCGCGAGAAATATACAGTGTAGTTTAAGCAGGTTGCCTGCGGCCACTATGGCCACCCTGCTTTAACTACACTGTTTATTTCTCGCGCTTGTTTTCGGAATCTGAATCTGAATCTGTATCTGAGTGCACTCTGGCCGCACCCTATGTTTACAGAGACGGATTTTACGCGCTGACCCGTTACTAGGGTTGCAACGATATATCGGAATATCGATAATATCGAGACCAAAATATCGATATTTATATCGATATTTAAAATTCACTGATATCGATAATATCGATATCGGAAATTCCAAAATATCGATATTTCGTAGACTAAATTTGAACACAATAATATCAATTAATTTACCTGCTATGACTATCTTAATTGAATAATATCGAAATAACTATTGCTTTGAAATCGCAAGAGCTTATAGATGTATCAACAAAATCTTGAACCCCAAGAAATATGCCAAACTGGTGTGGATTCTGGCATGATTCTCTAAACCTAAAATTAAATTTGATAACAGTGTATCCTTGTCATTCTCTATACAGAATGAAAAGGAGAGACTGATGTTAAATTTAGTTTTAAGTTTAGATAATCATGCCAGAATCGACACCAACGTATATAGGTATAATCGTATACCTAATGGTAACTCATGCGCTTAAATAAAATCCTTGCCTCTCTTTCTAGATAATTGTCAACTACGGATTAATTGAAATTTAATATCATTGTAATATAACACAAAATAAAATTAAGAATCATAAACAAATCGTAATTTTTTTAAGCTCACCAAGTCAAGAAAGTAAGGTAGGTATAGTAATTTTGGAAGCTTTGGGCTTACTCTATTCTGAATCCATGGGCACGCCCCTGATGTGTGGGAGACTAAGCAATTTGCGTATTTGATGTGCGCTAAAAACCGACATAGCTTGGAAAATCACGAATGTAGTGAAAACTTAGCGAAGGCATTCGCAAATGCCGTCCCATATATGCGGGTTGGCGCATTCGTGCTAACGAATATGAGTGATCTGATCAGGATGTTGATGTTGGAATGACTGATATATCGGAGCGGATATCGATATTTACTTGCCCACATTATAAATATTGATATTTCGGAAACCTTTGCTTCCTTAATTTTAGGTTTTTGCTTTGCAAACTTAAACAAAGCACAAAAAAAGAAAAAAATATCTATATATCGATAATGGTGTCAATTCTAGCATGATTCTCTAAACCTAAACTTAATTTTGACAGCAGTATATCCTTGTCATTCTCTATACAGAATGAAAAGGATAGACTGATGTTAAATTTAGTTTTACGTTTAGAGAATCACGCCAGAATTGGCACCAATATCGAGTTAAAATGGTCGATATATCGGATATCGATATTTTCCTGACTTCGATATAAATATCGATATTTTAAAAGACTTTGCATCCCTACCCGTTACCTATTGAACTGTTTACATTTCCACAATACAGTAAATTCATGAGGGTTTTGCGGTGCAGCGCACGCTAATATGTCTCGCAGCTGGGAGATTAATTCAGTCTTACATGACACTTATTGTTCTATTTTGGCCAATTCACTCAATAGCTTCATAAAATATGACCTAAATATTATTATTATGTATGGGCTTTATTATTGTTTAGTTTCATTAAAATGCAGTAACAAAGTTCCATACAAAATTAAGATTGAAATTAAAAAGCAAGTGGTTGATATACAACTTAAAATCGTTGTAGATACTATATCACATAAAATGAAACATGATGTAAGAAACCTTAACATGATTTTCGATTATCTAGACAATGATAACACACTCGACGTATTTAGTCAACTAATTTTTTTTTCTCACAATATGACGCCACATTGTCCCCAAGTTGAATTTCGATTAATATCATGTCTTTAGTAGCCCTCCCATGAATAAGGCGAATCGATTGACATATAAATCATCAAAATCGGCCCACGCGTTTGGTCTCTAGAGTGCCACAAAGGAACATACATGCTCAGACCAAATAAAAAATTTGGTCTGAGCATACATGTTAAACATAATACCCTGTCTGCGTGTCGCGCTTCTCACTCTTGCATTGCGCAGTCGGGTAAATAGAATCCAGTTTAGTGTTCAAATCATACCCTTAACATTTAGGGGGATGAATAATAGATGTTGTCCGATTCTCAGACCTACTGAATATGCATATAAAATTTCACAAAATCGGTCGAGCCGTTTCGGAGTAGTTCAATTACGCACACCGTGACACGAGAATCAGCAAATCTGTCAAATGTCGCTTGAAAAGTACGGTTTGCAAAAAAATCATTGAACACTTTTTTAGCACTGAGCTAATCTTAGAAAATACTAAACACTTGTAAACAAAAGAAGGAAATGAATCATATGTAACGTATGGAAAATTGACACTAGAAAAGGGAAGTGTAAGAACTTTAGTTTTATTGTCGTTTTGAAACCTACAATAATCGCTATTTCATTTTATAGCCAAAAGCAGCAAGTGTGGGGAGGTGGGGGTCTCCCCTATTCCCCCTCCACGGACTAGAGAAGTAAGAACCAGTACTTCTGCCTTATCTCCGGCGCTGCGGGAATAGCAGCCCCTCCGCCTTTGCGTGACAAAGTCACAAGCATAACTCCCCTTCACAACTGCTCTCCCTTCGCGCCTCCGGGCTCTTTAAAAACACTCTAGGTGTAGGGCAGACCAAGACCACGGCGTGTCGGGGTTGACCAAGTCGGTTCTGAATTAAAG